GAGGATAAAAATTTGGCAGAGGTTGATGGCAGATTGGTTCTGTGGAGTGTGATAAAAGAGTTACATCACCGGCAGAGAAATGTTTGTTGGTGGGTTGCCCTTGTGGTGTACTTAATTGCCTACATGTCTGAAGCTCATTCAGATAGGCCATTATATTTGTGAAGGCCATGTGTGGTGGCTGGTCCTATTGGATATTATAAAAAGAAATTATATCACCGGCGGGGTAATATTTGCGGAAGGATTGCCCTGCTGGTGTAGTTAAATATCTTTTTGAAGTGAATGCGTGGAACTCATTGTAACAGGCCATTATACAAATTTTGCTATGTTTTTGGAGGCAATGTGTGGTGACTGCTCCCACATGGTGGTCCATCGGAGTATTGTAAAAAGAATTACATCATTGACAGAGCAATATTTGCAGAAGGATTGCCCTGCCGATGAACTTAATTTATTCTATTATGAAATTTTTGTTATGTTTTCGGAGGCAATGTGCAGTAGGTTGGTCCCGCATGGTGGTCTGGCGGAGCATCACAAAAAAATTACATCACCAATGGAATAATATTTGCCAAAGGATTGCCTTGCTGATTTACTTAAATAGCTTTGTGTTTTTGTGGTACTCCACTTTTAATGCCTCAAAAAGAAAAGCACTACTCCGCCAGAGTCATTGAAAAAAATACATTGAATCATTTTGCACTTCTCTGCCAGAGTCTTTTTAAAAGAAACAGCACTTCTTCGATGGAGCTTCATGATATATATATATATTACTCTAGACCTCCAGCAGAGCTATTAAAAAGAAGGAATTTCATTCTCAAATTGAAGTCACAAAAGAAATTTCCATTGCTCCACCTAAGCATTTCAAATTTCTTTTATGCTACCAGCAGATACTCTCCTCATTGATTGAAACACTTTGGTTATCATTTTCATTAGTTCCCTTTAATATACATTGCTCTGCCGGAGTTGTCAAAAAAAATATTGCATTGCTCCGCCGGCATTATCAAAAAAATATTGCATTGCTCCGTCAGAGTTGTTTAAAAAAATATTGCATTGCTCCGCCGGAGTTGTCAAAAAAAATATTGCATTGCTCCGTCGGAGTTGTTTAAAAAAATATTGCATTGCTCCGCCGGAGTTGTTAAAAAAATATTGCATTGCTCCGCCAGAGTTGTTAAAAAAAATATTGCATTGCTCCGGTGGGGCCTTCTTTTACAAATATTGCATTGCTCCACCGGAGTCATTATAAAATATTGCATTGCTCTGCTGGGGTTGTCTTTAAGAAAGATTGCATTACTCCACCCAGGCCTTAAATACCTTTGCAGATTGAATGTGTGGAGCCTCTTCTGACAGATCAATCCAGTATTTGTCATTTATGCAGAGGCAATGTGTGGTGTTTAGTCCAGTGGAGTGTCTTACAGAAATTTCATGTCACTGGTGGAGTGGTCCGGCGGAGTATCATAAAAAAATTACATCACCAAGTGGTGAAACATTTGCCTCACTGGTTGAACTAAGCACTTTTGGCAAAGGAATGCATGAAGCCTCTCCTGACAGAACATTATGAAAATGTTATCATTTCTTTTGGAGGCAATGTGCAGTGCTTAGTAGCTCCAATGAAATCATAGCAAACAACATACATAGATTGACAATATTATGTATGATTTGTATGAGCCAGGCTTGTAATTCTAAGTGTTCATTATGATCATCACCGCCGGTGCAATATTTAGCCCCGGCGGAGGGTAGCTCTGCAGGAGGATATGGCAGTCAAGGTACACCCAGCTACTCCAATCATATGGGCCATTGTTGCTGACGGCCAGCCCATGGTTACTGGGTGATTGTACAGGGTCTGGCCGCCCCTTTCATATTGGGGCCCCACCATCAAACCGGCCAGGCCGGCTGGGCCCTTACCACATGGTTGATTGTCAGGGCCGGGTGGCCCATCACTATTGGGCCATGATGACTAACATAACTGCATTGGCAACACATCAGTTGAGTTACAGCTGCTAAATTCTTAACTGTTGAAGGTTCTCATTGTACAAAACCTGGGCGATAACTTCAATAGAAAGTAACTCTGCTTCAATCAGTCTCTTTGGTTTGATTGTTCATCTTTTCAGGTCGACGCAGTGCTTGAGGATGCAGTGCTTGAGGACGCAGTGCTTGAGGATGCAGTGCTTGAGGACGTAGGCGTCGATGAGGACGCAGGCGTCGATGAGGACGTAGGCGTCGACGATGTAGCTGTATCGGAAATGGTGCTGCTTTCCCTACGAACTCGAATTCAGTCATAAAGAAGAATCTCAAAATCGATGAACAGCTTACGTCCAAGTGATGGTGGAGGTCATATCAACCAAGTAAGGAGGTTGGTCGATGACTGCGTGGTAGACTCTCTCTGCAGTAAAGACGGTGGGGGCTGGTTCAGCTTGACGCGGTTCGACCTATTGACGGCGGTTCCTCGGTAATTAGGTCACTTCTATACCCAGGACTCGGAGGACCTACCGCAGCAGCAGCAATGGCTAGAAGGTGGGCGAAAGCGATAAGAATTGACTTGGGATGCATGTTTCTGGGGTTTGCTAGTCCGCGTGTGACTTGTTTTATAACTTACGGGAAAAGAAGGTTGCGCGATCGTCGGCTATCTTATTCCAGAGGCCATTTTGCCAGTCCCAGAGGAAAGGCGCACCACCCATCACGATTTTAACAATTGGGACTGGCTACATCCCACGTTTCGTCGAGCGCAGCAAGATACCGCCGCCATCAATCAACGACGGGTCAGGAGCCGCTCCTTCGAAAAAACTTCATATCCTGGGAGTAAAAGAGCAGTTTAAACTTGTGCTTTACCTCCTTGTTCAGCCGAGCCTGAATAGCTTCCACGCGTTAGCGCACTTCTTAGATGGCGTTCTGGTACGCAGCATGTTTTCAAACTTGTGCTTTACCTCCTTGTTCAGCCGAGCCTGAATAGCTTCCACGCGTTAGCGCACTTCTCATATGGCGTCCTAGTACGCAGCATCTTTTCTGGCACACGCTGGCGAAGCCGAACTCCCGTTATTCGTTCAACTACAAACAACTCTCTTTGGGTTGAAAGACTCCGGACAAGGCCTACGACGGGGTGGACCGGGGTTATCCCTGAGGCCACTGGATTTTGAGGCAATAACCATCCCGATCCCCTTGAGTGGCCGACAGCGAGCATAAAAGGCTCGTTCGTTTCGGGCGCGACCGTCGAATCCCGAACTGCCCTAAGCGGCCTTTTCTCGTTCTTGGGCTATTCTTCCAAGAGATATACGATGCCATCGACGTCTTGAGTCTGCACCCGGCTATTCGACTTTTCGAAGCAACAAGTTTTGTCTAGAATGTATCGGGCCGGCTTGAAAAATTTGTCGCATCTTCAAATAATTGTCATCTTCAGGACGTTATCGGACGGCTTCAGCTGAGTCGGGGGAAACAAATTTTGGGAACAATCCACTCAACTATCTCCAGTAGTAATATTCCTTTCCCGCAGTCTTGTGTTCTGATGTGTTACTTCTCAGGCAGGGGATATTTTCTCCGTCACGGGGTAATTGATTTTGAGACACCCGATTGACTTCGCTCTTTTTGTCGAGCTTCTGCAGGCACCACATCAAGAATATTGCCTCAGGACAGCCAGCGTCCGTTCTCGGAATCGCTTCTTGATACGTTGTTTCATGACGGCCTTTGGGGAACAAGGTCCAACTAATGAGCGTTATAAAGGCCGAGGAGTGTTTGTAAATTTCGCATTTCCCCGCAAGATAGGATGCTTGTATCCGCTCTCTTCACCGTCACTCTTTTACAGACAGTTAGTGCGTCGATAGGACCGATTGCGAACGTCCATATCGTCAACAATTACATACAACCAGATGGCTACAATCGCTCGTACGTCCTCCAAGTACTTTTCGGAAATGTTTTTGACATATAATTTCTTGCTACTTCACAGCGCCGTTCTCGCCGGCAACTCTTCGACGGCTGGGACATTCCCTGGACCTCTTATTGTTGGCACCAAGGTTGGACATTTTGTTCACCCCTTGAACCTCGAGTTAACGTCAATCCCCAGGGTAGCACATTCTTCTTGAATGTAGCCGATCACCTGACCGACACGACGATGTTGAGGAGCACTAGCATCGTAAGCTTGCTTTGTCTTGTGCCCTCTTCATTTTACTAAACCGATGTTTTCATAATCTATAGCATTGGCATGGCATGTTCCAGCATAACTCCAGCTGGGCAGACGGTCCAGTTGGAGTGGCGCAATGCCCCATCGCCCCTGGTAACTCATTTTTATACCAGTTCTCTGTTCCTGATCAGGCCGGAACCTTTTGGTACCATTCCCACCACTGTGCGTTGACCGTCAGCCTGATGTTCTGCCCCCAACTCATCCTCACATTCTCATTTCAGCCACACAATATTGCGACGGCTTGAGAGGCGCTATGGTGGTTTACGATCCTTTGGACCCATACAGATATTTGTGCGTATTTTGTCCAAGATCGGGTGTTTTTCGCATTTACTAACTTTCATCTTTAGGTATGATTATGATGATGGTAATGGCGCTCTCAATTTCGGGAGATACTCGCTAATTATTCTGAACCAGAATCAACTGTCATTACACTTGCGGACTGGTAAGAATTTTCCGTGCCGAGTCGCCAATTCTAAAATTAAAATTGAAGGTACCACACCCCCGCTCCATCTGCCGGCCTTGTCCCTACAGCGGACTCGACATTGATCAACGGGAAGGGTCGTTACTCTGGCGGACCTTCTTCTGACCTTGCAGTCATCAACGTTAAGCGCAACGCGCGCTACCGCTTCCGCTTAGTCTCCATTTCTTGCGACCCCAACTTTACTTTTTCCATTGACGGGCATAACATGGTATGTTTCGCATTTTTCTCTCTTCTGAACAGCTCCGTTGATAGTCAGACAAACAGACCATCATCGAAGTCGACGGCAACAACGTTCAACGAACAACTGTGGACTCCATTCAGATCTTCGCTGGACAGAGATATTCTTTCATTTTGACGGCTAATCAGGCAGTTTCTAATTACTGGATACGTGCACTACCTAATGTCGGGACGCAAGGCTTCTCCGGGGGAGTCAACTCGGCCATCCTCCGCTATTCCGGTGCTAATAGCTCGGATCCTACGACAAATCAAACTACCAGCGTCGTTCCTATGCTTGAAACCAGCCTCCACCCGTTGACGAACCCAGGCGCTCCAGGAAAGCCAGTTGCTGGAGGTGCTGATGTCAATATCAACTTGAATATCACGTTCAATGCCACGGAACTCCTATTCACTGTCAACGGAGCGAGTTTCCAACCACCTACAGTGCCCGTTCTACTACAGATTCTAAGCGGCGCCAAGACCGCACAGGATTTGTTACCTTCTGGAAGTGTATATACCCTTCCTCGCAATAAGGTTGTTGAAGTTACAATGCCTGGAGGCGCGGCCGGAAGTCCCGTACGTACTCACTTTCTCATCTTTTCATAAACTATAATGATATTCAATCAACGATTTCCCAGCATCCCATTCATTTACACGGAGTACGTTTGTGTTTTTTTCTTCTCTGGAATGTCTACTGATGAACACAACTTCGACAAAAATAGCATGCCTTTGCCGTTGTGCGGAGTGCAGGAAATTCAACTTACAATTATGTGAACCCTGTCCGCCGTGACGTGGTCAGTATAGGAGCTTCCACAGACAATGTCACCATTCGTTTCAATACGAACAACCCGGGCCCATGGATTATGCATTGGTGAGGGCGCTTTATTTTACCGTTGATCAAGAGCTCAAATTTTAACCAGCCACATCGATTGGCATCTTAATCTGTATGTCTTTTGATGACTCCCTAGTCAATAGCTTTCACTAATAATACATTTTAGCGGATTGGCGATCGTGTTTGCTGAAGACGTTCCAACGATTGCTACTAGCACCCATCCTAGTATGTTCCTTTCGTGTCTAAACCTCATAGTTTTTGATTATATTCTGACACAGCCGCATGGGATAAACTGTGCCCCACCTACGACGCTCTTCCCACTGAATCTTTCACGTAACTATACGACCACTCTCCTTCTAAAAGGTAACGACGCTCCTTAAAACTTGAATCGGACTTGAAGGACAATCTGAATCTATTTTTTACTTACGGTGTGTCTACCAACTGTTTTCCCTCGTTTTGTATACCAGACGCATTGCAGTAGTAGAGAAAGGACAACCTAATGCTTTCGAATACTGTGGACAAAAGTAGGAGGTACTTACCGTGACATACCTACATACATACCTGTGGACTCATTTATGTAGGAGGCGAGTAAAGCGCGATTTTCTTGTCTCGAGATTTAGCATTTTCACTGAGGGTTACTTTGGGTTACTTACTTATGTATGATGATGATGAACGTTGAGGCAAGTGGTATGTGCCGGAACACGGCAATCAGAAGTCCGGTATCCTCTTCGATCTTGTTTGGCCTTGTGAGTTTTACCGTACCTTATGTGACTTGACATTTTCGGCTTGACTCTTCACCCATACCTGGAATGCTTTAGACGACATCCTTGGAACCTATACACCCGAATTTCACCTTGAAATTCCACTAAATACCTCTGCCAAGAGCGGATCTAACTCATACCCAAAGAGCGAACCTTGGCACCACCGCTTCCGTGCCCCAACTCCTCTAAAAGAGCTCTGTCTTTCTCTACTCCAACGCCATGTCTTCTCGTTCTCGATGGGGCCCACTGCGCTCACTGCTTTTATTGTCGCCCGTTCTTATTGGCGCGCCATGGTTGGCTTACAGGCAACATCGCTGTGAGTGCAAACTTCTCGATAGGAACTGCCAACTTATACGCCACTAGATTTGCCTGTAGCTTTGACTGAGCTGTAAGTATACTTTTGAGCACGTTCTTTCTGGTCCCTGGTCCCAAGCTGACGATTGTAGATCAAACCCTGTAACGGGTCTTCCCCAAATCTCAGAAGCGCGAATCCTTGATGTTGTGAAGCATCTCTCGGAAGACATTGGTTATCGGACTGTAGGCACCTTGGAACATGCCCTGGCGGACAAATACATGGTTTCGCAAGCGGAAGAGGTCAAGAAGAACTGTGAGAGACTAGTAGCGGAAAGTGGAAGGAAGCTGCAATGTGAGGTGTGGAGACAGGAAGGAAGTGGGAGCCACAGGTGTGTACAACGATGCATCTCAACCTTGTTTTGCTCATCCCCTTCTTCAAAGATTCGATATGATGGGCAAAAGGCTCTACAAGACTTACGTTAACCTCACCAACATCATCGTCAGAGTCTCCGACGGCACGCCTGAGGGCAAGGAGCACGCGGTGCTTGTCAACTCCCATTTGGACAGCACATTGCCAAGCCCAGGCGCTGCGGATGACGCCATTTCAGTTGGTGTAATGTTAGAGTGCATGCGCGTTCTCATTGAGACACCTACCTGGAGCCCAAAACATGCGATCGTTCTCCGTGAGATAACCATTCTATATTTACATCAATGTTCTGAGGTGCTGAGATCTCTTAGTTTTCAACCATGCCGAAGAATCCCTGCAGGACGGGTCACACTTATACTCTACCCAACATATTACTGCCCCAACGTGAGCCATTTGACGTGTTTTGTTTCTTATTGATTAACCTCCGTAGTGTACGAGCCGCCATTAATCTTGAAGCTGCTGGTACGACCGGCCGCGAACTCCTCTTCCAAGCCACATCCGAGGAAATGATCAAGGCCTACTCCCACGTCCCAAGGTACCCAATTCAGCTTACCAACCTCCAAGACGCTCTGACGATCAATCCAACAGACCATATGGAACAACTTTCGCGAACGATATTTTCAGCTCGGGAATTATCCTGTCAGAGTGCGTTCATTTATACCTTGAGCCCTGCGCGAGGTGTATTCCTCTTCCTATCGGCATCGAGGTCTCACCATTTTTAGTACTGATTTCCGGCAGTTTGAAACGTACTTGAATGTTACCGGTCTTGATGTAAGTCATCTTGACTTCTCCAATGCGATTACTAATCTATGAATTCGTATAGATGGCTATAATCGGAAATAGTTATCTGTATCATATGCGGAAGGATCTCGTGGAGAACATCGAAATTGGTGTTGGACAGGTAAGGTTTCCAATCTCGATATCTTTTAGCACCAAACCTTGCTTATTCTTTCCCAGCACATGGCTGAAAACGCGCTCGCACTCCTCAAATACTTCTCAGCTCCGGGCTCACCACTGCCATCACTCAACAAAGGCTACGCACCTGTAACCACAGTGTACTTTGCGCACATTGGAGGCCTGTTCTTTATGTACACCTTCACTACCGCCAAGATCCTCTATACCTTACTTCTCGCCGCTTCATTCATTCTCGTGCGAGTGACTTTTGTCGATCCCGCGCCGGCATTGAAGCGGTCTGGGGGTTTCTCTCGAGAACAGAGGAAGGGGATGGTTGCGGTCGTCGCTGGGCTGATTGGGACGATGTTGGTTCCTAACCTCGTTGCGCTGGTGATGAGATTTGTGTTGAAGAAGGGGTTGAGCTGGTTTAGCAACCCTTTTGCTCCTTTCGCACTGTACGGACCAGCGGCTTTGTTGGGTGAGTTCTTCAGTTCATCCTCAACCGTCTTTGATCAAGACTTACGAGAGAACGTAGGTGCACTTCTTTCACAATACCTCGTCGGACAAGTCCACGAGAAAACGGTGTTCACTTCTATACTCCTACTGCAATCGGGCTTTGCGGTTCTAGTACAGCTCCTCAAAGTCGGCTCCGCGGCCATGTTTTTCCTCTGTGCTCTCCCGCTTTTCGTTGTCCTTCTCATCAACCCCTTGTTCTCGGGCAATACCAAGTCGATTTCCCTGGCCACGTATTTCCTTGGACAGATTTTGCCCTTGCTCACAGGTTCTTTGCTCACGATTCCTACGATTGAGGTTTTTGTACCTTTGGTATGTGTGCCTCCTTTGTCCTTGTCTTTTACACCTCTTATTCACCATGCGCGTGATAGATGGGTCGCGTAGGCGCTCAAGTCCCAGCGGACAACATGATCGCCACACTCGTAAGCGGTCTCGGCGCGCAGTCTCTTCCGTTGGTGTTGCCCCTTGCACATAGATTCGGGCACCGGGCGCTCTTGCGTGGGGTGTTGTTGTTGAGCATGACGACGTTTGTGTTGATGGGTATGTTTGCTATGAGGACGCCGTTTGATGAGATGCATCAGAAGAGGTTGTTTGTTTTGCATTTGGAGAATGTGTGTTTCTTGTTGTTGTTTTTGTTGTGGGATGGAACTTGATGCTTATAATGGTGGTTAGGTCACCTCGCAGGAGCGACACTTGCACCTTGCAGCGGCGGATGGCGCACCGGGTTTCGAGCTTCTTGTGCAAGATATTGTGAATGAGTTTGGAGCGACGACGGATGTCGTGCCAACCCCTGTTGTGATGGATGAGTATAACTCTGATTGGGACTCGCTGTACCCGTTCTCTTCTGTGAGCTTTGCCAAACCTGTTCTCCTGCAGCAGCTGATAGATTGATACCTTTCTTTGTAGTTCTTGACCCCTTACAAGGTCCCGCTGGCCGTGGAACCGGGATACGTATCCCCTTGGGTTAAGGAGCAGGCGTTTGTAGTGTCTGCCGTTAATGATGTCAAGGACTTGGTTGCTGGGACGCGGAGCTTGACTATCAAGGTTGATCATCCAGGTCTTATTTGGACAAGTGCGTGTTTCCTTTCCTTAAACAATTTCTACGTACAAAGACTGAGTGATACGCTTGTCAGCCATCGCCTTTGACGCGCACGTTCTCAAGTGGAGTCTGGACAACAGTCCGCCAGACGAGCATGCGCGGCATCACGTCAAAGAGGCGTCGTTTTACGGGACTGATACGTATACCTTTGACATGGTTATCAAGCTGACGGACGCCAATGACCCTGGGCTTAGCGTCAACTTTATTGGGGTGCAGGAGAAGGGGATGTGGCCTGGTAAGAAGAGCGTTAAAGCGGAGGGAGGGCTTGCGATGCGGTTGTTTGAGGAGTTTGATAATTGGTTGGAGGTGAAGACGGGGGGAACGGTGGATGCGCTTTTGATGGGATGCGTGGCGGGGAGTGTGGTTGTTTAGAAAAAAGCGAGAAGGATAACCTATTAATTGATTCGGAGGATTAGGTCTTTTGGAACTGATACCAATTGCAACTTTTGGATGTCGCTATAATTATGTATTACAATAAATTACCAACCAACTCATGCATTTGCCTTGCTCTGTTTCTTCGTTTCCTTCAACAACTTCGCCAAGGTTTTGCTAGACTGAGAAACCTCATCCATGAGGTCGCCCATGGCCTCCTGTATTTCCTCCCCGACCCTTTCCGCCTGATCCTCCGTCATACCATCCATCTTCTGCGCCATCTCCAACAACTCTCCCAGTTCTTCCGGAGCCTGCGCTTGCAATTCATACAAACGTCGCGTTATCTCTTCTTCTTGGTCCTCTGGAACTTTTCCGCGCATCGACTCTAATATATCCTCCAGCGCCTTCGTTGTCTCCGGCTCCCCGGGGTGCTCTTCAACAGCAGCACCCTCTTCTTGAACTTCTTCCCCCTGCGTCAGGGCTTCAGCTTCCCCGATATAATGGTCCAACAGCGCCTCGGTCGGTGCGGGGGTATACTCCAGATATTTCTCTCCCAAGAGAGGTATGACCGTATCATCATGGTCCAATATCCTCTGCACAACCCTATCCCCCTCGGGATCCGGTCTGAGCTTGACAAGATTCATCCCCTCAATCCCTCTAGAATCACGTAAAAGCTGCACCATCCTCTTCTCACTCGTCCCTCCCCCCTCCCCCTCCTCAATCCTAAACAACTCCTGCCTCTTCCAATCGATATAATAAAACCTATTTCCCAGTTCCCGGGGGGGCGTGCGTCTTATGGTAGTGAACACGAACCCTTCAAGAGAGTTGTTGTACGCGAGCGGGAGGACGTCACCGCGGATCGCGTGTCGTATGTTGACGAACATTTCTATTTGGGGGAGGCGGAGGAAGTAGTAGGGGGCTGGGTAGAAGAAGGTGAGGAGGTGGCTCCATTTGGACCAGTCGCTGCTCCAGCCTGAGGGGAGGTTGGGGTGCGTGGGCCAGGTGGATTTGGCGGTTTGGATGACGGCGTGGACTTCGTCTGGGTCCTGTAGAGGTATTTATTTTACGAGTGTAAATTGGCTATTATGGAGGAGGGGGCTGAACTGACGATGACAAAGTCCATTTCATCGTCTTCAAGTTGGGCTTCTGTTGGTGATGGGGTGGGCTTCCGTTTTGGGTTTTTCGGTTCTGGCCTGAAAGGTTGACGCTTAGCTGAGTTTTTTCTTGAGAGACAGTGACGTTTTTGAAAGATTTTGGAGGACGTACCGTTGAGTTATAGCTGATGTGTGAAGCCATGGTCCAGGTTGTCGTTGAGTTGAACGACTAGGTACTTTGAAAGTCGGCCTTGGACGCGCCAAGCGTGCCATTCCACGCCATGTAGCCGAGTTGACGCGAGTCTGAAGGGATATTGGAGGCATTGCCTTTCTGAAGCGTATGAGATGCATATGTTCTAGTAGGAGAAAGTACAAACTTGCGTAAATAACGGCCAGCTTTCTTCCACCATCACCAACGCCGGAACTGGCAAATTATCAGGAATCTTTGAAAGGAATAGCGCAAGGCTTCGCTGAAGCTAAGCAAAGGGACAATTTCCACATCAAGGCCGGTCGTAATGTTGGACACTTTGTCAACACTCATGCTGCCATGAGTTTTCAACGCACTACTTCAAAATATTTTCACCGAAGATAATTGGTCAGAAATAAAAACCACAAATCCGATCCAACTTCTTGGGTATACTAAACGCGACTGACTGACCCCAAATGAAAGGAATCACAAAACTTATCGCTTCTCATTGGGTCGAGCTGCTAGAGCCGGACTGCGCGCCTGTCTCCGCCTCCGCCTCTGCCTCCGTTGCGGTATTCGCCGTGCTCGAAGAAGAGTCTTTGCCATCCTCGGTCTTCGCTACACCCGGGACGAACGTAAGAGTACGACCGCGGTAGGGTCCAGTCAGCGCGTCGCCGGAGGGAGTAGAGCCAGTGGGCCGTAGTGCTTGGATAACCCCCGTCTGCTTGTTATACCGGAAAACTTGTGTCTTGTGCGCGTTGGCGTCCTTGGAGTTGGAGCAACGTTCTACTGTGAAGGGCTGTGCTTTGACCAGACTGGCGGTGACGCAGAGGCCGGAGGCCGGGAAATCTGCTACGTGGAGAGAGACCCTACCCCCGGAGCCGCATTCAACACAAATGGAAGGGACGCGGTAGACTGAGCCATGATCAAGTGCGTCCCGTCCGTGTACGATTCGTCCAGAGTCAAAGTACTGATGTTGAGAAAGAGGGATGTAGCAGAGCCACCCACTGAGCTCTGAAAATGTTCGGTCAGCCCCAGAATCAAATGATCAAACATATGACGATGACTTACTTGGATATCAATCGTTCCTGGCACCCCGGATTGCTCGTCTATCTCGTCTCTTTCGAACATCTGCCTCTTGCCTCCGAGTCCTCCGAGTCTGTGTCCAGAAATGCTATTGAGCGGATTAAAACCTTTGGCCTCGACGGCGGCGGCGGCTATTGTGGACGCGGGTAAGATGGTGACGGCGAGGAGACTGGCGAGCATGGCGAGGTGGGGAGTGAAGGTGAGCATGTTGACGTGAAGGATAGTAGAAGAAAGAAAGTGTAGTTACGAAAGGAGAGGCTGGCGAGGAAGTGGTCTGGATGAGTTGGGATGAACCTCGTTGGGAAAGAGTTCAGGCATTTATAGGATTTTGCGGCGGCTAACCAGCGGCTGACTTAGGCATCTGTATTGTCCTCAGGATCCTTTCGAAGATATGGCGCAAGGCACAGTGAACAAACTTTGAAGATGCAAAATTTCAGGAGAGCATCGAGACGGAAGACTTTGTCATTACTTATGGCGCATGAGTTTTCAACGCACTACTTCAAATTATTTTCACGATGCCAAGGATAGTTCGTCAGGAATAAAAACCACAAATCTGATCCAACTTGCTGGGTATACTAGACGTAAGTGACTGACCATGGATGGAAGGAACTACACTATCTTATCGCTTCTCACTAGGCCGAGGTGCTAGATCCAGACTGTGCGCTTGCCCCCGTCTCTGCCTCTGCCTCCGTTGCGGTATTCGCCGCCGTCGTCACATCAGCGCTCGAAGAGGAGCCCTTGCCATCCTCGGTCTTCGCTACACCAGGGACGAAAGTAAGAGTACGACCGCGGTAGGGTCCAGTTGGCAGCGCGCCGTTCGACGAAGTAGAGCCAGTGGGCCGTAGTGCTTGGATAACTCCCGTCTGCTTGTTATACCTGAAAACTTGGGTCTTGTCCGCCTTGGCTTCCTTGGAGTTGGAGCAGCGTTCTACTGTTAAAGGCGAATCGCGATGTGTGTCAAGATTGGCGGTGGCGCAGTAGTAGTCGTCGGTCGGGAACTCGAAGCCATGTGCTATGTGGATATTGACTGCAACCCCGGGAAACGCGTTAAGATCAGGTGGAATGGACCCGGTGCCGGTGGACTGTGCTTGGACCAAGAACATTGGCGTCCCGTTCGTACCATCCGCTTCGGCCAAAACAGCTCTCTCGCCGCGGTTGTCGAAATTTTGCACGACGAGGGCTGTAGCATGGCCGCCCGCTAAGCTCTGAAATGTCCGGTTAGCCTTGGAATCAAATCATCAAACGGATGAGGAGGGCTTACTTTGAGTTGAATCGTTCCCGGCACCCCGAGTGGGTTGTTGAAACTCTTGTCGTTTCTTTCGAACATCTGTCTCTTGCCTCCGCCGATGACGTTTCTATAAATGCCATTGGATTCAAACGGATAAAATCCTTCAGCTTCAGCGACGGCGGCGGCTATGGTGGACGCGGGTAAGATCGTGACGGCGAGGAGGGCGGCAAGCATGGCGAGGTGGGGAGTAAAGGCGAGCATGCCAGTGACGTGAAGGATAGTGATGGGTTTGAAAGAAAGAGTGTGTATTTATGAAAGGAGAGGCTGGCAAGGAAGTGGTCTCTGGAAGAGTTGGAATTAACCATGTTCGAACAGAGTTCGGGAATTTATAGGATTTTGCGGCGGCTAACCAGCGGCTGACTTGGGCTATTTTGAAGATCTAGTGACGTCATTGTAATCTGGAGCCAAGTCGTCTACAAATCACACATACAAATAAACCTAATCAATCCTTCACCACATCTTACAGCGATGAGCGCGCCCTTCTCCCTCGATGAAGAAGTCCGGCTCTACAACACCAACGCCGAGCGGGAGCGCTACAACCTCCTCTCAACCCTCTTCGGCATCATCGTGACGCTTGATTACCTCGAGCGGGCATACGTTCGCGATTCCATTACCGCAGCTGAGTGAGTTCCTTCCGTTCAAAGTTCCCCTCCTAAGAGCATAGAGCTGAGCACTAAGATTTTGATTCGATTGAAGAGATACTCGCCTGCGTGTACGCGCTTGTTATCGCAGTACAAGACGATGTTGAGGCTTGTTGGGGATGATGTACCGTCTGTGGAGGAGTTTATGAGCCGATACAAGGTGGGTGTACGGATTTTACGTGGAATTTCGAGGCTCATTACCCTTGTATGAATCAGATGGATCATCCTGCTGCGCTGCATAGAATCAGGGTCGGCGTGCCAGCGACGGTGGAGCATTCAAGTGAAGCGGGGCCAGAGACGGGTAAATGGGTTGCGCAGACTACACAGGTAACTACTTACCTCTCATGGAATCATTTTGCGTCTTGTTTTGAGATTATACTCACCACCTCCTCCCAAAAAGAGCTTTATCACCTTTATGGACGCGTTGAAACTACGTCTACGGGCGAAAGATCAGCTACATCCTATCTTACAAGAGCTCGTCACGGGGTATGCGAGGTTTAAGGGGAGTAAGGATTGGGAGGGGCGAAGTAAGATGGTTTCGTGGTACGACTTTCTTTTTCGTCGTCGTTTGCCCGTCCGACCTGACACTCCCAATCAGGCTTATCACACTGAATGGAATGAAAGCATCGGAAGAGATAACGGAGGAACAGTCCAGACAGGTGTGTATTTTCGTTTGTTGGCCTACCTCTTGAAGACGAATTGAGGTTCATGGAAACAGCTTTTCTTCGATGTGGATCATGCTTACGCCGAGTTCTTCCGCAGTTTGAGTGGGGGGAAGGACGATCCTTCGTAGCGCGGCATTCCTTCCCTTCACCTTTGAACATGCCAAGAGAAAAAGTTGAAGGCTTTTGGATCGTTTCACTCAGGCTAGGATTGAAGGACGTATGTAGAAGATAGACGACCAGAAGCAGGGAGAGTGGAAGAAGTAATACATAATTAAGTTGCTCCTTGTGTAACTGACAGAGCCTTCAAGGAAGTCCCAGAGTGACATACATATACGCCTTTCGTCTTTGGTTGGTTCCCTAAGGATTTAATAGCCCGAAGAGAAGAAAAGAAACAAAAACAAATAATAAATCTCTCTTTCTTTTTCAACCATTCCAACGAATCCAACCGTCGAGTTCGTTTAACGGGATTTTTAGGTTACTGGCCGCTTCAGAACTTCCAAAGCATACCAAAAGCTCTGAAGCACACCCAATACTACGTAATAGAACGCAACTCTACGCTACTTCGAGTGAGTGTTGTCTTTTACAGGCTGCCAGTGGTTTTCAACATTTTCATCCTGTTACTTCTTTCCGTTTAGTGAGCTAAAAATTCACGACTTGAGATCTGAAGCTTGAAGGCCTCACCATGGCATTCAAAATCTAAAACTCATCGGAATTTCACCGGGTTCACAGCTTGGGCCAGGCGTCGCCAGCGAATTTGGGAAGCACCTGATGTGTGCCGTAATAAGTATGGCCGGAATCCGCAATCCGAGCTCAGGCGTCAAAATCGTCCTTTTTTCGCAACGCCCATCTACGCACCGCGATGCCTAATGAGTCTATCTCTAGTGGTTCATCTCGACAACGGTGCCGTCGTTTTTTGTCCGGCAGCTGTCCTGACGGCGAAAGATGTAGATATCTTCATACTACTGTACGTCACATACAAAGCTTTCGAAATCAACAGCTAATTTGATCTACGTACAGGAAACGCCTCCTTCTCGTCCCAGTGAAACAGGAAGACACGGGCGGAATAGGGGTCGTCGAAACCCTATACCACCCGCAACCCAGACGGCGAGCTCGAATGAGCCTTTGTCGGCTTCACAACCTGTGTATGTTCTAACTTGAACGAACGCAGTCACAATGGCTAAAATGTAACCTCCAGTACGCACCAGACTTTGGTACTGCCGCTCACCCTGTTTAGTGACCTCCTCTAACATTGACATGTCAAGCCGCGGGAAATCGACGGCGCTGACAGGGCTGAACAAAGGGTACGAATGATAATTGGGGAAATACGGAATGCTGCAGCACAGGATACTGTTGTAGACCCACGACAACAAGTGAAGGCGGACGAACCACAGGCGCCATCTCGTAATGTGGCAGGGCGACGCCGAGACAGGGAGGAGGCTCGAAGGGCCAAGGAGAGAATGGCGGCTGAGGTGGCGCGGATACAGGCTGAGGAGTGTGCAAAGGAGGAGGCGTCGAGAAAGGAAAGGGAAGAAAGGGAGGAAGAGCGGAAAGCCGAAGAACGAGCGCGTCTCAGAAGACAACGGGCACAAGAAGAGGCTGGGCGAAAGGAAAGGGCGGAAAAAGAGGCAGCTGAGCGGCGGGCCAATGCAGCACGAGAGGCATCGGAGCGAGATGCGGCAGAAGAAGCTGAGCGGCAGGCCAATGCAGCACGAGAGGCAGCGGAGCGAGATGCGGCAGAAGAAGCTGAGCGGCAGGCCACTGCAGCACGAGAGGCAGCGGAGCGAGAGGCGGCAGAGGAAGCTGAGCGACGGGCCATTGCAGTGCGAGTGGCCCGAGAGGAAGCAGAGCAACGAGCCAATGCGGCGCAGAAAGCAAAAGAAGAACGAGAGAATGCTGAGCGGAAAGCAAGGGAAGCTGAACTGGAACAGAGGCGAGCACATGAAGCCCAGGTGACCATGCAACAGATGGTTCTCGGCTCCGCTTTAGTGACTTTTGGTGCTGGACTCGACATCCGTTCCGTTGTCACTGGATTTGACCTATACCGGGTCGTGGTGAAAGACCTTCCGTGTAACGCCAATCCTCATGAGGTGGCCGCAGTTTTCACACAACTGGGCGTCAATCCCGAAAATGTTTTCCTCGAGGAAACACGGCCTAGTAATGGTATGCACGCTGATGCCATTTTTTCGGTAGGGGCGGACCAGGTTCCCCTCTTTGGCTCGGACCGCACCATCGATTTCGAAGGTCAGCGCCTCCGGTTCGAAGTTGGCCCAATTGCGTCTGAACATTCGATGGTCCTTTCGTCGCACAACACCAATACCCTGACCGTCTACTGGCGAGTTTCATCCACATCGGTGATCGCCACTTACCCCACATTGGAAGTAGCGAAAGCTAAGGCTAAGGAACTTGATGGCAAGATGTTGGGCGGGCGCCGGGTAAAAGCCGTTCTGAATACCCAGCCCCCAACAACCCCCAACTGGCGCGAAAGCGTCAAGATCATGAACCTTCCTTCAAATGTGCCAATAGCTGAAGTTGAAGCGTTCTCTGGAACGTCTTCCCTCCACGTTGTTAATTCTCCAATATACATCCTCGAAGGGTTCATCGAGTTCCTCCGCAAGCATCTCGAGGGTCTTCCGGGTGCCATTCGAGGGACATTTGCGTGTCTTTCCAGCTTAACCCTCAATTCCACTATCCGAGTGGAGATTCAATTCAACAGCTGGGGGGAAGCAAAGTTTGCTTGCGATACTTTGGACAACCGCAGGCTACAGGATAATTATCCTTACCTTCACGCCTTCCTTCCTAGGGCCCATCGATTTGTCATCGACATTCCGCGTGAACAGTATCGGTCCCAGCAACGACAATGGGACTCACTCGTTCAGGAGAAAGGAAAGGGAATGGCGTGCATTCACATTAACGAGCGCTGCCAGTGGGATGGCCGTGTTGTTGTCATGGTTGAAGGGAATGACGTGAAGGCAGTTGGCACCCTCAAAGTTCGAGTTGAACGCCTTGCTGCTGGGGAGCGTTTGGATCCTAGCTACTGGGACCGGTCTTTTTCTACAAATGCCGGATTCAAGTTCCTACAGCAGGTCCACGACACGTCAGGTGCTTACGTTCTGATCAACCGAAAGGTTCAAACGTTAAGAGTTTACGGGGACACGGAGATGCTGGTTAAAGCTAAGGAGATGATTAAGGAAGAGGTTGAGAGGCTCGCCCTTGTGGAGGAGGTTATGCCATTGAAGGAGCGATCTGCTCAATATTTCCTGACGCGTGGCCTGGGGTTGTTGCAGGAAGTTGTTGGACGTGACAACATATCCTTAGATTGCGCTCCGTGGAGGTTGACGATCAAGGGTGGAGACGATGCTCACCATCACCTAAAGCGGGTCATGGATGAATCTCTGCTGAACCCCGGCTCCAACCCAGGCCACGCAGATATCTGTTCCCTCTGTTACGATACCGTTTCTTACCCCGAAAACTTTGGCTGTGGGCATTCGTATTGCACAGCCTGCCTTTGGCATTATCTGGAATGGGCGGCGAACACAAGGAAATTCCCGCTCATTTGTATGGGCAACAATGCCACCTGCAGGACGCCATTATCAATTCCTCTCATTCAGAAGTTCTCAACAGCGCAACGATTCAATCAACTTGTAGAAGTTGCTTTTCTATCATATCTTGGACAACATCCACGGGAATTTGGATACTGCACAACTCCGGATTGCAATCAGATCTACTCGAGGGACTTGAGCAAACCTATCCTGCAATGTCCCACCTGTTTCTCGACGATCTGCTCTTCCTGCCAGGGCGAATCCCACGAGGGAATGACATGTTTACAACGGATGCGTTATAACCCCACAACTGAACAGAAGTGGTTCACCGACAATTGGGCTTCTGCTCATAGCATCAAGAAATGCCCTGCATGTGGCATCCGGATCGAAAAGGCAGAAGGATCTAGCCACTTGACGTGTAGATGTGGTGTTCACCTTTGTTGGAAGTGCATGGGCATCTTTACTCCAGAGACGATTTGTGCACACATGCATGGCGAACCGCCAGAGCCAGTCTTGGAGGAACCAAAGAACTCCCAGCTTTTAGCCGCGGAGAAGGCAGAGGGCGAGCAACGAGAACGTGAGCGACAGAGACAGGCAGTTCTGTTGGAACAAACGGAGATACAACGCTTGCGTGCTGTGGAACAGGCTCAGTTTGAGGCGGAGAGTCGCCGACGACAGTATGCAGAGTCTCAACGACTGAGAGAGGTGACGAATATGCTTATCCAAGAGGCACGCCAGAGGAAAGAGGCATGTGAAAAGGAGGAGGCGCGACAAAGGGAGGAGGCACGACAAAGGGAGGAGGCACGACAAAGGGAGGAGGCACGACAAAGGGAGGCGGCACGACAAAGGGAGGAGGCACGACAAAGAGAAGAACGGATGAGAGAAGCTCAAGCTCTCAGTGAAAGGGAGCTTCAACGGCAACAGTTGGAGAGACAACAACGAGAACAGGAGATACAACGCTTGCAGGCTGCGGAACAGGCTGAGGCTGAGGCTCAACGGCAGAGGGAAGAGATGAATATGCGTATCCAAGAGGCACGGCGCCGGAGGGAGGAAGCACGTCAAAAAGAAGAGGTACGCCAAAGGGAGGAAGCAAGCCAAAGAGAAGCACGCATGAGGGAAGCTCGAGCTGCGAGAGAAAGGGAACTTCGACGCCAACAATTAGAGGGGCAACAACGAGAACGGGAGATACAACGCTTGCAGGCTTTGGCACGAGCTCAGGCTGAGGAAGCGGAGGCTCGACGACAGAGGGAACAGGTGCGCCAAAGAGGAGAATGGATAAGAGAAGCGAGAGAATGGGAATTTCACCGCTTACAATGGCAGCTTCAGGAACAGGAGGAGGCGGAGAGGGCATCGGAGAATGGTGCAAGCTGGAGCTTTACTGTTTGGTTTTTTGTGATCACTGTTGGCATCTTCGCGATGAAGAGCTTATTTAATTCTTAATGTAATCATGTCAATCAGGCTAGTAATGGACAAAATGAAGGTGCCTAAAGGAGGCTGGAGGTTTGAGAGATGTACCGTTAGCCTTCTTGCATTGGAGCTCCCGCCAACCAACCGCCAACCTTACCCCTACACAAATGGCTTTCAAATCAACTTCAAATCCAAGAACTCTACAACGAAAGCTGCTGGAAAAGCCCCCCAAAAATGTCAAAGGCTTTCACCAGTCTCCTGTCAAGCTTTCAGACTTGAATATCTGTATGATGGAATGATGTACATACACCTGGATTCTGGAGGTGGTCAGAACCGGCAGGAAATATAGAAGTTTGCGCCTCAAGCTGAACCGGGTGGGTCAGATCCAGAGTTAGACCCGGTTCAACAACGGTTGAGTATAACTCATGTTGAAACGTTGTTGAATCGTCGCTAGCAGCTGACACGTGACCGCGTTTTGGACGCGCGTGCCATACGTCTTTTTGATACAGATTCAAACTATCTCTTCCTCTAAAAATAGCTTTCTCAATGTTTTCTCATCCGGCCCCTCCCTCATCTTCACCTCCTCAAGCCCCTTACCCGCCTTTACAAACTCCAGCACAGCTCCAACAGGTGTAACATAAGTAACATCAAACTCGCACTTCCTATCACCCGCACCGCACGCAACAATCCCGCCAACCCTCCCTACAGCATCAACAACCACCGCCCCCGAATCACCCACCTTCCCAAACGTGGTACATCGGCGGTCATAGCTACTGCCCCGTAACTTCGCCTTCGGTATAGGCAGAATAGGCCACTGCTTGGATACCCGCCCTTTATCATCACGGGTGTAGGAAAAGATGCTATTCGCGTGACCGATCTTGATCCCCGAGGTGGCACCTCGCATAAGAACGGCGATGCATGGATTACCGTCTTCATCGTAGTCAACAGGTTTGCGCATCTCCTCGTCCGGAACGATCCCCTTTAGACCCAACTTGCTGGAGAAAGAGGAGTAGGAAAATGGGTGCACGTTCTTGGAGTTGCGCGGCATCATCAATATAAGATCGATACGGCTGCGCTCGCCCCCCAAGTCTATCATATTCCCCGGGAAGCTTGCTGGATCCACCTTGTCCGGATCGACAGCAATAACAGCAACATCTCGGGCATACCCCGAAGTAGAATCCACGTCCATAGGCGGAGAGTAGATCACATGCCCCAAGACACGATTGTCTTCAGTCGCCCAATGCTGTAAGACCTCCACACGATAATCTGTCAACAGCTCTGCCGCCTTCTCCGCTTGTTCCCCCTCCTTCTGCGCGGCCTTCCGTCCTCTCTCCGCCCTCTCACCAGTTTCGTTCAGCAAACTCGCAAGATACCTTTTCGAGTAGTCGATGGTCGAATCTTCCGACCGAATCGCCTTCTCAACAGCTGCAACGTGTTTCTTGAACGACGTGTCGTTGAGCACCAGAACGTCGCGCGGCTTCCTCTCCTCCCTCTCCTCCTTGCGCTCAAAATCTTCGTCGTCATCTAGATCAGGGAGAACAACATGCCGCGCAGTGACAAGCAACAGCCTCCCCCCCTCGCCCTCGCCATCACCTTTCTCATTGAGGAAAAAACCTGCAGTTCCCTCCACCTCCTGCGTATCCCTCCCACAGATCGGTATCCCAAGCGTATAAGCAAGCGGCTCCATTTCCTCCAACATCTTCTCATTATCCTCGCAGCATAAAGCAGGCTCAAACATCCTCGGCCTAGCATCTGAAGCGGCCTTGACAACGCTCGACGTCCGTATCTCAACATCCACATCCTCAATCCCATAATCATCCACCAAAACCCTCTTACACCTCAACGCAACATCTATACCCCTCTCATACGACAACGACTCAGGAACAACACCAATCCACAAAACAAGATTATTCCTCAGCACCTCTCGTTCATCGATAGCCGCTATCCGAACGACGTCCGTGCTCGTCCAATCTACCTGTTTTTCATCGAGCAGAGCGTGGATCTTACGAGCTAGCTCGCTCTCCCAGACATCCTGGATCTTGTGCTCGCCTACGATGCGGAGCTCCTTGGTTTCGGGGTGACCTGGGAAGCCTGCGTCGTAGCTTGGGACGAGCTTAAACAGAACGCTGCCGGTGCGTGCGATTAAATTTGGGCGGGAGGGTAGGCCGTAGTACCACACTTTGGCTTCCGTCTCGGAGACGGGAGGGAGGTTGGGGGAGGTCAAGAGTGGAGAATCGGAGTGAGGTCCTGTGGTAGTGTTAGAGTAGAGTAGAGTAGACATGGTTGCTAAACAAAGAATGATAATACGTTTGTCTCCTTTCCGCGATTGAATGACTCCTTCTGACTCCTGAGGCCCAGTGAAAATCGACCCTAAAAAATGGCCAAATGGATCGGTGGAGCCCGATCTGAACAGGGGAGATGGCCGGAAATTGGCAAATATATCGATTTGATCCGGAGAAACCCGATCTGCACAGGGTCAATTTTCACTGGGCCTGAGGCCTCAGTCCTAACGAGTACTCTCCAAAAGATGTCATTGGATAACTTCCCATAAGGTTTAGAAACCTAGATTATTTTTCTAAACTGACGTGCCGCCATGCCGTTTGCCAAATGGGTCACAATCTGTCAAAGTTGAACTCCGCTTGTCATCGAACACCCTCTTCTAGATTTTAATCTAGACGAGGCCTCCCCCCCCCTCTTCTAGTTCTAAATCGCTTGCATAAACCCTTTTTTCATTGTCCGACAATCAATCCCTGAGCATCCCGTCCAAATCAAGCAAGGCATCAAGATCTATCAAGATGCACCAACCTATGTAGTTGGTCTCCTGAAGAACTATTCACTACATCTTTCTTGTATTTCTCGAGAAACAATAGGGAGTCAACAGTGGAAGACAGACAAGTCATTTTTCATTTGAACCGGGTTTTGTAGGACAGTTTTTTTCATCATGTTGACGATGTATGCAGCTCTCCTTCAAACCACACCCAGGCATCCGATTGCACGTAAGTACAGCTTGTCTTCATGTTATTGGTCAGTTCTCCTCACTGAATTCTGTATCAATTGAGGCTGGAGGCGCAGTGGGCACGGAATGAGGTTGAGTAGAGAGATCTTAAATGAGATCCGCGTCACCAAAGAAGAATTGTACAGATTTGTGTTGCTTGGCTTATGGTTTAGAAAAATGACTGAATCAAGGGGGTGGCGGAATGTGGAAAAGAGACCAACACTCATTATTTTTTTTTCAGGGTTCTGCCTGACACCCCCCCACCACTACCTTCCTAATGAAGTATGTTTTTCCCACACTCATGTTTTTTTTTTTTTTTTTTTTTTTTTTTGAATTCAAAATATTTCCATGTAACAAGTCAACTACGCACAGGCGGTTGGCCGTAAACTAAGTTTAAGCTAAGTCGAGTCCACTGAAGATGCATATAACGGGCCTGTGCTAGCATGATATTGAAAAAACTTGTTTAAAGATGGATCATCCTGGGTAAGTAGCTACACTGACGGCTACTGACGGTACAGAATGAGAGGGCATTTCTTCATTACTGTGCATGTGATAAATCTTCAAAAGTGACTCTTTAAAGTGTAGGCCGAGAAAGAAAGTGAAGCGTCTGAGTGGTGTAACTCATTCAGAGAAGGAAGAGGCACTTGGCCTGGGGCAGCGTGGGGAGTGTAGGGTGTGTCAACGTAGGTGATAGTACTCTTGGTTTGGACCGTCCGTGTCCGAAGCTGGAATGTTGCTGCCCTTCAAAATCTGAAAATTGATGGGGTGTCACTTTTTTTTTTCGGCCTTTGGCTGGACACCCCCCCTCCTACCCTTGGTGCGGGATCCACGTCCCGCTACCCCCTTGGACTGAATATATTTTTGAGCTCCGCCCATCAAACATTTAGAGAATAGTCTAGAAACCTAGACTATCTCT